GAATCATAAACAGATTCAGTCAGCTTGCCCTAGAGTACTATAAACAGATTCAGTCAGCTTGTCCTAGTGTATCATAAACCGATTCAGTCAGCTTGCCCTAGAGTATCAAAAACAGATTCAGTCAGCTTGCCCTAGAGTATCAGAAACAGATTCAGTCAGCTTGCCCTTCTGCTTCATAAACAGATTCAACTGATCGCGTTGAGACAGTATTAACTACACAATCACCCCTTCTCTAATTTAACTCTACACCTTTCATGATCGACTTAATTTCCCATGCATAATTGCAATTAAGCAGAGGCCATATTTATTCAACATCCACTCGGTACCTGACCTTAATTGTGGGGCAACCAAGATTTAATTTAATCCGTGGTCCAACACATCTGATAAAGTTGATTGCGTCAGTGTTGGGAGTAATGAGGTACAGATTCTAAGTGGATAACGCTTTGAGGACGACACATCCTCATCCCTTCGCCGGGTGAATGCGGCATCCCATTTGGCCCTCATGACCCCTGTCACGAAGTCAGGAAGGGATATAGTAATGAATACTGTCCAGCGATCTGCCCCGCAGTTTGATATTTTATTAAACATTGCATACCCGTTGAACTCGGACAAAGTATGTGGCTTTTTGCAATGTGTATTTTCTGAATATTGTATTTATCCACTTCCACGACAAGTTGGTTCAAATGAGAAGAGACCCCTGAAGATCCGGGGTAGAATAGGTCTTCAGCAACCCATGCTTGCCGTAAAAGGCGACAATGTTTGTCGTAAGAGGCGACTAACGGGATCGGGTGGTCAGGCTCGCTGACTTGGTCGATGCATGTCATCGAATTCCAATTGCGTGGATCGATGCTCGTGATATCAATGACTGGATTTTCTGGGGATCGAACCTCTCCGGGCAGACGCTCTACCACTAGACCACGGAGGCGGTCTGGAAGTTGCTGGAATATTGCTAAAAGCGGCTTAAGACCATACTCACTCCAGTGTATCTGATTACAACCACTGCTGTCATGGCTAAATGTACCCGTCAGGTCACAGCGTTTAATCGGTTTAGAATTCAGCGCCATGTACTCTTAGAGAAAGTCCCGAGCAGGCAGGTGGTGTGATCGGGGGCTCGACATACACTCAGTAACCCATACCATTGCCAGGGGATACGAAACATCGGTCTTTGAAAGACTTGCATTATATAATACGAAAATAGCATGAATGTCGCAATAAGGAATATCATAAAATAATGACAATAAAAGTCAGTTTTTGCCGTGTGGAGAGTACTGTATGAGAACAATGTGTTCAGCTGTTAGAGGCTCTGTATTGCCGGGCACACTATACAGGTGATTGACTACTTAATGTCCTTCACGACAATACCCAATGCTTGTACTGTCCCCAAACTGGTCCAAGTCAGGGCCATTATCCTTTAGCCAAGATTGGACCCATTCCAGTTGTACTCGAACTCAGTTTTCTGAGAAAGAAATCATTCATGTTCAAACAAGGTGCATAAATCAATTATATCTACTTATCTACTCAAGTTATTTCGCATATGTAATGCTGAGTGAATGAGTGAGTATGTTTTTACATCGCAATATCACGTTTCGGACACCAGAATGGCTTCACACATTGTTCCAAAGTAGGGAATCGAACCCGGGTCTTCGGCGAGACGAGCGGACGCTTTAACCACTGGGTCAACCCATTGCCCCTGAGGTGCTGGAAGCGTTACTACTGTTTATAAGTGCATACTTGCAATACATGCTATAATGTCCTGGACTCAAGCTTACTTGATAAATATGGCCCATATTCCTAAAGGTTGTCTTACAAGTTTGAAAAATAATCATTAAGAGTTATAGCAGATATTGGTATGGCTTCTGCGTCACATGTTTGTTTGTTTGTTGTTTAACGCAATATTCCAGCAATATGACGACAGTCTGTAAATAAACGAGTCTGGATCAGACAATCCAGTGATTAACGTCATGAGCATCGATCCACGCAATTGGGATACGATGACATGCATCAACAGAGTCAGCGAGCCTGACCACCCTATCCCGTTAGTCGCCTCTTACCACAAGCATTGTCGCCTTTTACGGCAAGTATGGGTTGATGAAGACCTATTCTACCCCGGATCTTCGCAGGTTGCGACACATGTGCTGCGGTAGTGGTGTATCATTTAACGCAAATGATGTCGTTGTATGAAAATGTCCGAGTCAGCCGTGGTCGGTGATGGACCATGCCACGTGTTGGTACCGATACCAAAGGTGCCCTGTACACATTGAATATCCTGGCTACAGCAGCCGTCTGTGGGTTGTCTCCTTTCAATCAGGGTCGGTGTGGTGGCCTTGTGGTTAAAGCGTTTGCTAGTCACGCCGAAGACCCGGGTTCGAATCCCCACATGGTTACAATGTGTGAATTAAGCATCTTCGTTGCTGTAATTTGGTGATTACAACAATGACAATTTTAATTTGGTACCAAATGATTTAATCATGCTTTACACATATCGTTAATGTAGTAATATCTGTCGCACATGTGTAACAACCCGTGAAGATCCGGGGTAGAATGTAGAATGTCCGTGTCAGTCCGTTTGACATTCGCAGGTATCCACTTCCAGAATAAAAACATAAAATGCTGGTTGAATGAGCAAATTTTAATTAGGGATGCCAAACACGTTAATTAATTAAAGAAAAGAAAGTCGACAAAACACTGGCACTTCCTGCCCGGGACATCACACCTCATATGCTGAGGTCGGTGAGAAACCTTCTCACATGCACATCTCAAAGAAAACACATAGAATCAAGACACACCAGACACACTGGCTCTTCTGGGGGCTCACGGTATCTAGTCATAGTTATCACTTATAGTTATATATTATAACTCAATTCCTTGAGCAAAACTATACATTTGTAGACACTTGAGATATATTTGTCCAGATATGTACGTTTCGTTTTAATTTTCTGCAATCCATTTTTAGTATTACACGTTGGCCCGACCGGGCCGACTTTTAGACAATCCAACCCCCTCCGCCAATCGGGGCCCTTTGTGACAAACGCCCCTTTTTGTGCTATGACAAGTAACACGTGCTCACACAAATTACCGATTCATGGAGAGTGCGAGGGTTGTCTGTTATGCTTTAATTACAAACTGGCCCGTATTGAATATAAACAGACGTGTAGCGTTTCCTTTTAATTTGAAAGACTTTAATGTCTCATATGTCATACTGACCGGGCATTGTACATATCTACCCGAAGCAATTTCTGTGCTTTACAATGACCCTGAAATAAAAATCTTATTCATCATGTACGTCCGGCCATTCTCAGGCGGGTTTTAAGTGAACATGACTTGTTCGACACTTGTTATAGTTCATATATTGTACGTTATTTACTTATTTAAGCAGCAATTAGTAAAGAATTCAGCACGACAAATGTTACCCTGAACACCCTACCAAAATTTGCCTATTAAAACATTTAAATATTCGACGAAACTTTTTTGGTCCAACCATGGAGTTTAAAATATATGCTGTTTTACAAAATATTAAATCAGTTATATTACTCCCTAAAAACAGACCTCCGTGGTCTAGTGGTAGAGCGTCCGCCCGGAGAGCGGAAGGTCCGGAGTTTGACCCCAAACCGCGTCATATCAAAAGACGTTAAAAGATGGTACTTGTTGTTACCCTTTCTGGCGCTTGGCATTAAGGGGCTAAAACAAGGACTGGTCGGCTCGGAGTCAGTATACTGTGCCTGAGTGGGGTATTCATGTTAAACTGCGGCATGGTATCTCATTGAGCTAGCACTATAAATCGGCATCAGTTCGGACTAGTACAAGCAGCCACACAAACACACACACGTACATGCACGTCGCTATATAAGTGCAATAATGTTGGACGCGACGTTAAACCCCATTTCACATCACCTCATCCTAAAAACAATGGTGGTATGTATAGGAATAAACCATGCTTACTGGCCATGGCATGACATGTCCCGATAGTATTGACCAGTTCCATGGACAATATGGAGTGCAATTCGGCTAGTCATTGTGATACCACCCCATACTATTAGGGACAGACCCCCCCCCCCCCCCCAAACAATCATGCTGTACGACGTTAACGTCCATAACACTCTCGTTAGGACGTCCCTAAACTCGATGAAGTGCAGTAAGCTGTGGAATGACACTTGGACGTCGTGCACGCAAATTCGATCTGTGCAAAGGATTTCGCATCCTCAGGGCATGTACTCTTACACCAGTTGCCTGTTGCAAGCAATCCCTTATCTGAGTGACAGTTTGCAACCGATTTCTTGATGCCATCTCTCTGACTAATGTGTGCCGGGCTGGAGTTCTTGGCCTTGGCGTCCAGGGCGGCGTCGACCATCGACGTTACGTGTTTGTTGGTATCTAGGCCACAATGTGCTGACGACAGATTGAGAGACATGCAGCGTTTGGGCAACAATATTCTGACATGTGCCTACCTGCAACACGAATATGACACCTAAACGTCCATCCCGTGGCAAACGTCGCATGATCGACGCTGTTGCTTCCTTAATGATTAAATGTGTTTAATGAAATGTCTTCGAGTGTTTAGTTCCAAGAAAACAATAAAATTATGCGTTTGCTCACATCCGAGTCTGAGTGACAATGGTAAATCAGGCATGCTACGCCTTGCATGTGGTCCGAGATCACGTGTTTGGAAGCTTGATTTTTGCGGATATATACTTGCATAAATCACACACTTTCATTGCCAAACATTGGTGTTTTTTCCTTTAGTTTCACCTCAAAACAAAATATCCCCTACATTTTTGGCATAGTATATATTTATTTAGTGTTGAATGTCAGGCGTCCAACCACTTCTAAGTATATAGCATATGGAAAATACACCTTAATTCTGAAAGACATATGAAAAATTCTATGAAATTTGAAATTGATTTCATTGTTAATGTAATTAACCTTGTTAAAAATCTATACATTATCGTGAGGTAATGTGTCATACTTCGGAAAAGGGATCAGGATTAAGGATCAATTATTACCTCATTTCTGTGAGAACTTCCACACAAGACACTGTTTTCGCCTGCCATATCATCCACGTGGGACCACCTCGTTGCCTTTTGTATATCTTCAATAAACACGTTCTCAGTTCCCCGGTCCATCCTTATGCAACGAGGAACCCCTGAATGGAAAACAACTCGTGTTCAGTACACCATTAATGTAATGAACGACAACCACCAAGTTGCATACTTAACATTGTTGCCGTAGTCGAACATTTACTACGTTGATCTGATGCAAAATACCATTCGTGTCAATTACAATCAAGCTGCGGTGCTCAAATCCTAAATAATTGTGATACCAATTAAGATGTTTCAGGTATTATATCCTGAGTGTATGAAAATCTGTGGCGTTTGAAACAGAAATCTTAAGCCTTTTTCTCCTATGCATTACCTACTATACAGACGATCGCCTCTGAATCACCTCCAATACTTTCAACGTATTCCGGGACATAATGTGCTACGACATATGGATCTTTGTTACTTCGACCAACTTTGAGCCATAGTATTCGTCTTGAAAACTGAAAAATTATATTAAAATGTGTAGACACCTTCACTGAAATATATCTTACTATGTGAGAAAGGCCTCGTTAGTTGCCCAATTATCTAGTACTGTTGCTTATACTATATGGAGTATGTCTGTTTTCTATTATAGATTCATGTTTATCACCAAGCATACATTAAACATGTACTTACTTGAAGGCATTTAACATTGCACTTGGGAAATTATGTTTATCTATCGAAAAAAATAACTTTCATGATATTTATATTAACGTTTCACGTACAATGTAGTCATATTGTAAGGAGTGAGTGAGTGATCCGGATATAATGCATCTTTGAACGGTATTCCAGGTATATCACGGCGTGTCAGCTTAATGAGGGAGGAAATCGCGAAATAATGCGGGTGTCAGACGCTTACTACTTCGGTGAAACCAACAAGCATGGGTATGGTGCTGACAAACCTATAAAATATAATCGGGGCGAACCGGGTTTGGGACCCACAATCATAGGTTTCTAAGGTGCCCAAGGGATGCATCTCATGACAGCGAATTGCAGCGCCTTTGACGACTGGGCCACCCGTGCCACCACATTGTGAGGAAATGAGCCATTACACTGAACTAATTACTACATGCACCTTCTTAAGAAATAATGTGAATGGGAACTCACCCGCAAATTGCACCGTGAATAGCAAAACCGAATAATAGATTAAGGAAAACAACCATCTCACCTGAATTGCGTGTGTAACTATTTCATGAACTGTATCGGGTAAACAACGTCTTAGGTCAAGTGTGCTGAGTGTTCCCTTCAGTGTTCGTATGCTGAAACATTTAAAAAACATCTATTAATTCACTTAAAGTGCTACCATTCGACTAAGTAACAGTACATGTGTGTTACATCGCATATAAAGATGTTGTGTTTCGTTTATACTTTAGTAACAAGTTCAATCTAGTATAACGAACAAGGAACCACGCCTGATGTGTATATATCACGATGGCGGCTGAGGAGAAAGCAGATCTCCCTATTCGCGTACCCAGCAGGAAAGTACAGCCTGACTGCACCCTGTCCCGGAAACATACACCTATTAACAGCAAATGCAACACTATTAAAAAAAAAAGTGTTGTGGAATGTTTTCGGAACAACAAAATAAGAAGGATTATACAAGAACAATAATACGTAACAGTTAACAGTGGTTGATCATTTCTAATATTCTTCCAACGTCATCTGCAGAAAAAAATATTTATATCTTACTGTCAATTCTGTTCCTAAATTGGTTCATGTCCATTGTCTAATCACTATCTTCCTACAAAGCAATATTTGTTTTTCACTTCTTTGCAAATGGCGCCTCGGCCTCGGTTTCGGTTTGGGCATGCGCAGATAAAACAACTGAAAATATCGTCATATCGCCATGTCGCCGTATCGCGTTACCATATCGATATCTCTACGTCGCAATATCGCCATATCGCGTTTCCATATCGCAATATCGCCATGTCGCGTTATCGCCATATCGTCATGTCGTTGCGTGTTATCGCTATGTCGCTTTTGGCTGTATCGCAATATCGCAATTTCGTGTCGTGTTATCGCTTTGTCGCGGTATCGCGTGGATATCTCAGGGCGATATGGCGATGGCCCTAATCAGCCACCATATTATACACAGAGATGGAGTGAGATAAACTTTCATCACTTCAGTGACATCTGGACCAACCTGAAAACAAAGTGCAACATATTTTATGTCTGCAATAACTTTCAATCTAATTACAGTCACAACCTATTAAATTATCTGTGGGAGGAAGAGAAATTGTAAATGTTATTCTCATGTATGACCAAAATCATAATACGAATAAAATATTACTTCAAATACTTCAATTTATCTAAACTGTTATTAAATGATTTCATTGCTTTTTTAAATTTTCTCTTATATCAGTGTTTATTTGGCTACATTAACATTTGTTGCCTAACATATATAAAGAGATTTGTAAGATCTGTATACCATGAATTTAGTTTTATTTTAATGTGTGCTACTGTTGTTACCGTATTCGACGTAATAAGCGCCCCGCTCTAATAAGCGCCCACTGCGATATTTGCTAATATATTGGCTTGTGAACAATCCCATTTAGCACCCCTTCCGATTGATCAATGTACACAAAACTTATTTATTCGCGTATAATACGTACTCGTGTGTTATATGCATTCTTAATTATGGGCAATTAAATTCTGGAAAAATATATCTGTCGCATATAAACATTTTAGTCTGTCAGCATAAACCACGAAATTTATCTTTCAACTCTGTTTTTCCACAAATATAATATTCTAATAGGAGCCCCCTATTTCTAATTTTGAGAGCGCCCTGGGCGCTTATTACGTCGAATACGGTATATATTTCTCAAAAGAAGTTAAAGGTTATCCGATTTTTTCATATTACTACCACGATAGTTAATCTGTCATGTCGAGTGACAATCGAGTGATCCTTAACATATTTTGAGTAGTATTTATCATGCATGTATAAATGACTGTCACTATTGCTTCGAGAAATACTGTCCAGGTTTACAAGAGTTTCACATTTAAGTAATTTTAAACAAGTTTTTAATATTACTAGTTTTACAAATATTCTCGTAATAACGACTAAATTCTGGTAACGACTTTTCGAAAACATCGTAATTACGACGGTTAAATTTTCTTAGCTACGGTGTTGACCCAATAAGCTTGCGTAAACCACCGATTGTACTTATTACAGTTTTTCTTGTATTCGTATTTGCTGTGACTGCTGGGATATTGCTAAAAGCAGCGTAAAACCATACTGACTCACTGCTGTGACTACCATTTGTATCATTATCTACCCGACGCGAGTCGTTGGGGGTCCTGAGTTTGTTTGTTTGTTGTTTAACGCCGCATTATTCCAGCTATATGGCAGTCTGTAAAAAATCAAGACTGGACCAAACAATCATGAGCATCTATCCACGCAATTGGGATACAATGACATACATAGATAAACCAAGTCAGCGAGCGTGACCACCCGATCCCGTCAGTCGACTCTTACGACAAGCATGGGTTGCTGAAGACCTATTGTAACCCGGATCTTTACGGGTCGGGGGTCCCGAGGCTTCATCTAAGCGGTGGGCGTTTAAGACATGTATCTCCTCAGCGTTCATCCAACATCAAGCTGTCTTGTCGGGAAAAACTGAAATACTGTACAAAGAGGCGGTAAACCAATCTCACTCACTCATTCCGACATCAAGCCAACGCATCAAGATACGACAAGCATAGTCGCCTTTTACGGCAAGCATGGGTTGCTGAAGACCTATTCTACCCCGGATCTTTACGGGTATCCGTTTGGATATTTCTAATTTTTAATTTTGTTGATATAAAGTTTTAATTAAGATAAGTTAATTCAGTCTAATTGTCAGATTTTAGTACTTGAGCTCTGACTGGATTTGTTTAAATTTTGCGATTCAGACAAACAATCCGAACCGACAGAGATGCGTGGTTTGTTTCGGACCAGTGAACAGTGAAAGGCACAGCACGTATATAACGGAGAAACGCCCAGTGTATGGCACAGGCAAATTTTGAAAGATGTAGTGAAAAGAAAATTAACATTCAGCTACTGCCTGTTCCAGAAACTAAATAGATGTTTGTGTGTATGATTATGATGCTCTTTGATACATATAAATTAACATTAATTTGCACTTGTATTGCTTTCAAAATATATATCCTACATGCATGTCTTCTCGTGCCCTGTAACTATTTGCTCATAATGTCCCTGTTATTGTCAAGCTTTTAAGAATTAGATGCAATTAAAAAAATGGGCTTAATATACATTCAAGAAAAAGCGAGTACCACAAGGTCGTCGCTGAATATCACATTGTCGAATTGGTACTAATAGTCTATAACGTTATATACGGTGACGCCCAGGACTTGAACACCGACTTAAGCGTGAGGCTGCACTCGAGTAAACCTGTTCATATAGCTCTTGGTAATAACTTACCTATAGACACTGGTGTATTACGACGGCAACATGAGTTTAATAGTGAAACTAGTCTACATCTCTTTCGGGCAAGCCGTTCAAGAACCATGACTAGGCTTTGGGAGCGAAATAATATATTGTCTCTGGACAACCAATGGACCACAATGTTCACGTTCTCGGGATTCGAATTGATTTGTTTGTTTGTTTGTTTGTTGTTTAACGCCGTTTATGTCGTTGTTAAGACAATGGTATCAATACGATCGCATTGTGGAACTGGGGTCGTTGTTATAGCAGCTGTACAGTGAACATAAATTCACATATGTAGTTTCACTTTTCGAACAGCCAGTTACACACAATAGAACCCATTAGACTGCAGTTCACACCCTCCAGTTGATGTAGATGTTTCTCGCTCATCTATGCACGACTGAGCAGTGATGATATCATGTGTGAAACACGTTAATATACACGGATGCAGGACATTTCTACCAAGTGGGTGAGTAGCCTCTGCCATGACAATAGACTAACGTACTTAAAATGATGTGATGCTTGCAACGTACCCACCCAGACAATTCCCATGCATGTGTTTACTTATGTTAAATTATCTTCTATATCCCGTTTACTTCGGGTTTCCTTCGCGGTATTTACGCCTTTGTTGTCGACAGATAAACTGGCAATTAATATAATGTATGGAACGCATTTTTATGTTGAACGTCTTAGCATGCACTAACGGGGTTTCTGTGCATCAAAGAAATAAATGATTCAAAGGAATAAATGAGAGGGCGATGACAAGTGTGAGTGTATGCTGTAATGAGATTGGTTAAAAACGTTGTTAAAATTGGATTCTCAATCCCAGAGAGAGAGAGAGTGTGTGTGTGTGTGTGTGTGTGTGTGTGAGAGAGAGAGAGAGAGAGAGAGAGAGAGAGAGAGAGAGAGAGAGAGAGTTGTTGCTCAAATAGACTTGCACAAGTCTCTAACGAAATGATTATTTGTTTAAATCTTAAATGCTAAAATATTTTAATAGTAAGAACAGAGACCATATCATAGATTATTATGATATTATATGGTCTCTGGTAAGAAGTTATCATTAAAAAAATATAAAAACTGGCGTAGTAAGTATCCGCTTGTCAAGATTTGCCGATTATTAGGATATAATTACAAAACATCCATGGACTTCAGTACAGACTTGGATAGGCTCAAATAACACCAGCAAGACCTGCTTAAAGTACGGTTAATTCGCAAATGGCCTTTTGCTAGTTATGGCCAGCGGCAATGTCAGGTGATTTTATCTAGACTTAGGCTAGGTTGTAGTGATTTAAAATCACATTTATTTGACAGATTTCTGATTGATAATCCCATCTGTCCATGTGGCCTAAATAGAGAAGATGCTTTCCACTTTTTTCTATCTTGTCCACGCTATGCCAAGTTTAGAATTGATAAATACTTTTTTGTTAACCAGCTCAGCATACATACTATACTCCACGGCAATGAAGATTCATCTTCCTCAGACAATGAATACATTATAAAATCAGTTCACAATTACATCATTGAAACAAACCGCTTTACGTAAGTTTTGTGTCAACTTAAGAATATAAAATGCATTTGGTATCTTGCTTTCCATTTTATTTCATGTTGTGTTACTCATTAATGTCTGCTCTATAGACTTTATTACAATCTACATGTATAATGTACAATATTAGGAGAAGCATTAATATAGGCCTTTTTGGCCTGTTTGCTAATCCTTTTTCCATTTTGTAATGCTATTTAATGTAAAATCTGAACATTAATGGAAATAAAATACTGTTTTAATCAATTCGCAAATACTCATCGACAGGCGTCCATGTCTTTTTCTATAATCCCATTAGAGACCATTAATCGTCACGTCATGAGCAGACACGTTACAATTACACATCTTTCCAGGTGTCAGGTCTTGATATTGTGAAATATCCCGTGCGATGAAAGTACAATTCAATGCGACCATCACTCATTTGAGTTGAAACCAAAGCACACAATTAATGCATGACTAAGCAAGGGTAGATAACTCCGATTCACGTTGGCTCGTTCAGACTGATCAGACTACTAAAAAACATATCACCCGGAGGTGTTAAATAACATGTGACATTTCTTCCTGAAAACAGTCGAGAACTCAGTACCTTGGACAGCCATGTGATAAATCCACATCAATTGCTTAAATAATAGACATATATGTTGATAAGTTCAGCTTCATGCTACATATAATGATAGGATTTCGAGTGTTTTGTTGAGGATGAAATGGAGTTTCAACATGAATGCCTTGTGGACGATTGACATTAATACCAGCAGACTATTTCCAGCTTCGGCACGGGCGATCTCTGCAGCACAGCAACCACGAGCAGGTCCCATTGACGTGGTGCTTTGATTTTAATGTAATTAAGTTATGGAACTGCGTTACATTTTCATTTTAAGGATGAGGTTTTACGGATACATAACGTCCTGACGCCTTTACTGCAGCCTTGGG